GCCTGCTTCTCCCTCTGACCCTCCCCCCTCTCATGCTCTCTCTATCTCATTGTATCTCTCTCTCTCAAAAAAAAAAAAAAATCTTTAAAAATTTCTTGGAGAAAAAGTTCCAAATGAGGAAAAGATGCTATTGTTTTTGACTTTTTAAAATTATTATTACAGTCCTCTTTAGAAAGCTGGCAATTCACTTTTCAGCTTTGAACCTCAGTAACTGGGAATTAATCCTACTCAAGATACCTTCTCAGAACTGGGAAGGAAGGCAAGTAAGGAGATGGACATGACTGTTCTTTACAAATTATAATATGCTTGAAAGGGAGAGGTCATCAGCATCATTGCTTCCCTTGCTGATAAGTCAGTGAATGAACAGGTAGGATGGTATCCCCTTCCAGCGAAAACAGGTGGCAGTCCTCACGTTACCAAACCATCTGGTGAACTCCCCTCTGTGGCCCCATCTCATTCAGTGAACCTCACTCTTGATATACACAGCAGAAAGAAATAAGGGAAGCATCCTTCAGAGTGTTGAGTGACCTCTTAGAAGAGGTGATAGACACATTGGTCATTTATTTTGGAAACTGTATAGAACTTGCTAACTGGAATGTATTCTTAGTCTTCCTTGGGCAAAGGAGGAAATCTAGGCTCCTGGTTCTGCTATTTATGTAGGCTAATCATTTTAAGTTCTCTGGGCCTCCATTTCCATTTTTAAAATAGATCTCAAAAGTTCCTTCCAGCAATTTCTGAAATGTGATTTCTAGTATAAAGCATAGGTCTTACAAAGAAAACTGGTCACTATTTTGCCTACAAACCTCTTTCAGTTTTTCTTTTTCTTTTTTTTTTAAAGATTTTTTATTTATTTATTTGACAGAGAATGAGAGAGAGCACATGAGAGCGGGGAGGGTCAGGGGGAGAAGCAGACTCCCTGCCGAGCAGGGAGCCTGATGCGGGACTTGATCCAGGGACTCCAGGATCATGACCTGAGCCGAAGGCAGTCGCTTAACCAACTGAGCCACCCAGGCGCCCCCCTCTTCCAGTTTTTCTTATGTACAACTCCAGTTTGGCATCTTGAAATGGAGCTAGCCAAAAGACACAAGGTCCATCAGAGCATTCTGCAGCTCTGAGCAGAAATCTCCATCTAGATGTGCATGGACATAGGGCAGAGCCAACCTAGCCTTCATTTTCTTTCCTGAAGGAGAGCAGAATTACTGAATACTCCTTTTTTTTTTTTTTTTTAAGATTTTATTTATTTGAGAGAGACAGAGATAGCAAGAGAGAGCACGAGCAGGGATAAGAGGGAGAAGCAGGCTCCCCACTTAGCAGGGAGCCCGACACAGGGCTCGATCCCTGAACCCTGGGATCATAACCTGAGCTGAAGGCAGACGTTTAACCAACTGAGCCACCCACTCACTCGCCCCCAGAATTACTGAATACTCCTAAAATCCTCTGTGGCAGACAGCAATGGAGATTTTTCCATTAAAATGGGAACTCATAGGGGCGCCTGGGTGGCTCAGTCGCTGGCGTCTGCCTTCGGCCCAGGTCATGATCCCAGGATCCTGGGATCGAGCCCCGCATCGGGCTCCCTGCTCCGCGGGAAGCCTGCTTCTCCCTTTCCCGCTCCCCCCTGCTTGTGTTCCCTCTTTCTGTGTGTCTCTCTCTGTCAGATAGGTAAAATCTTTAAAAAAAAAAAAAGGGAACTCAAAAAGACTCCAGGTGTTTGAAAAGCAGTTTGTTTTTTGTTTTTTTTTTAAGATTTTATTTATTTATTTGACAGAGAGAGACACAGTGAGAGAGGGAACACAAGCAGGGGGAGTGGGAGAGGGAGAAGCAGGCTT